CGGGGGGGGAGGAGCCTGAAAAGCTTCTGTCAGGTCAGTGACCAAACTAGCATATTTTTAGTTAATAAACTTTTTTTTAAAACACACTTTATTTACTTTTAGTATTGTAAACCAACACCTGCTAGACGAACCTTGTGATATTAGCTTACGTTGTGGGTTGGTCTATTGTTACCTTATGTGGTCACTTTGTGACATGAAAGTTAATCTGAATAGATAGATAAAACATCTAAAATTATGATATGCTGTCCCAATCCCTATGCCTATCACATGTCTTTGTTTTACTGCATCTCCACCTCCATGTCTTGTGACTCTTCCAGGCTTCCTGCCACCCATCACTCAGCCAGAGAAGTTCTTCCTGTCACAGCTAATGTTAGCTCCACCCAGAGATCTTTTTAAGAAGACGCCACGACAGGTGTCATGTATGGATGTGGGGAACATGCCCCAGTCTATCGACATCAGTGGGCTACAGTTGGCACTAGCAGGTGAGCATAACCCTTTAGACGAAGCTGAGATAGTTTAAACCAGGATGATAAATGCAAGGCTAAATGAAGCCTTCCATTTATTCAAAGCCGCTTTGAGGATGCATTGAAACCAGGCTTTGACCAAAATGGGTATAATGTTGCCTTAATGTGTGTCTTTGTATGTGTTTTATGTTGTGCAGAGCGTCAGTCAGAGCTGCCCACACAGAGCAAAGCAGGCTTTCCGAGCCTCTTGAATGACCCAGACCCAGATTCTTCAAACTCTGGCTTTGACAGTTCTGTGGCTAATCAGATCATAGAGTCTCTGGTAACAGGACCCTGCCCACCATTGGAGAGTAGGTGGCGTTATAACAGATGTCGCAGTTAGCACCTGTTGTGTTAGCTGCGCTTTGATTTTAACATTTGCATTTCATTGAATAATGTGATGAGATACGTCATTATTTAAACACTTGACATACTCAAGTAGCCTCCCTCTTTTTTTTCCTGTCTCTAGGTCACTTCCGTCCAGAGTTCATCAGGCCTCCACCGCCGCCACACGTGTGTGAGGACGAGTTAGCCTGGCTTAATCCCACCGAACCAGACCACAGCGTGCAGTGGGACCGATCCATGTGTGTGAAGAACAGTACAGGCATGGAGATCAAGCGTATTATGTCTAAGGCCTTCAAGAGTCCACTATCGGCGCAACAGCAGACGGAGGTAGGTCATGTTGTAACTGTAATTGACTAAAGTCCGTTAAATCGGAAGTTCTCTTAGCTTTAAAATGTATCACCTGTGCCTCTGAAACTAGCTGCCACTGTTGCACAATATTCATTATTATTTAAGTAACCAAAGTTAGCCACAATACTTGGTTGATTTTTGTGGAGCAGGTCACATCTCCTCTGTCTTTTAGTTGCTAGCAGAGTTGGAGAAGGATCCTAAACTGGTCTACCACATCGGTCTTTGTCCCACCAAGCTGCCATTCCTTGTCGACAACAACCCTCTTGTTGCCATCGAGATGCTGCTGAAGCTAATGCAGAGCAGCCAGATCACAGAGTACTTCAGTGTCCTGGTCAATATGGACATGTCTCTACACTCCATGGAGGTGGTCAACTTGTCTGAGTCCTTAAGAGAAACGCACGCACACACACAGACACACAGACAATCACTTACTTCTTCTAACATCACTTTTAAGTTAGAAACTTCTTTTTCTAACGTAAAAGAAGTTTGAACTTTTTTTAAAGTTAGAAGTTAGAAGTCAAAGGTTTGAACATATAAATGTACCTGTATTTTACTCAAGTCTATCTATTTGGTGAGCCTTCATACTTGGAAGTAAAAATTCGTACTTACATTCAGAGAAATCTATCTTTCCTTTTTATCAAACGAATCACACAGTAATGAGAATGCAAACATTTTGAATTGGAAGACATTTTATTAAATGTGTCTTCTCCACCTGCCTCAGCACAGTACAGTTTCCTCTTTCAAGTTTTTTTTTTTTTTTTTAAAAAGAAACACATTGATGTGTGTATTGTAGGTTTGATGACCAGAAACCGAATTATTTTAAATGTAACCTACATTCATCGTGGGCGGTGCTGTGCTGTGCTGTGCATCAAAAATAATAATAATGAGTTAACTCTAGGGTTCCCGTTTTGGTCGGGACTTTCCGTATTTTGATCATAATTTTGCTTTGCGGAAATGTAGGGGCGTAGTGCTGAATATTACAGAGCGTAACACAAATGAGAAAATATTTGATTTGTAGCACGTGTCATGCTGCTGTGGGCTTAGACTGCTGAAAAGAGCAGAACTGATGATGCCATTTTAATGTCAATGCTATTATTGTTATTTACAATCAATTAAAAAAAAAACTGTTCAGTCGACTTAAATTGACATGCACACAATTTTGTTTCTGATTAAAAATGAATTGAAATTGTTTTTCTTCCGTTCAGGTTAACCACAGCTGTAGATCTTCCGCCAGAATTCATCCACCTCTACATCTCCAACTGTATCTCCACCTGTGAACAGATTAAAGACAAGTACATGCAGGTACATTATACCTCAATATCCATGATTTCTTACACCGCCGAAGTGCGATGCCTCCATGACAACACTTGATGTTCTCCTCTTCCTAACCGTTTGTTCCAGAACCGTCTTGTCCGTCTTGTCTGCGTTTTTCTCCAGTCCTTGATCAGGAATAAAATCATCAACGTTCAGGACCTATTTATCGAGGTCCAGGCCTTCTGCATCGAGTTCAGTCGGATTCGTGAGGCCGCCGGACTCTTTCGTCTTCTGAAGACCCTGGACACAGGAGAGAATCCAGCTGAAGCTAAACCTGCCAAGTAAAACGTACTCTACTCTACTTGCGCTTACTCTACTCTCACCCTTTGGGGATTTTTTTCCCCCTCTATATTAAAGCTGGACTTGGATTCGAAACAAAACAAGTTTTTTCTTTTTTTTTTCTTTTTTGATTAAAGTATTTGACCATCAACTGCTTATTTGTTAATTGTCAATTAGTGTCTGTGTATACCTGTCTCGTGTTCAGATATTACTTGGACTTTAGCGTTATTAATCCTTAGAGTAGAATCAAAAACATTGAACCCGCTTATACGGTGCTTCTCAACGACCTGTACACCTCTACTCCATTTGTCGTTCGCATAAATGCAGAGATGCACCTCCTCTGTTTCTCAAGACAGCAGTCTCCGCGATGAATGGGGCAGATGTCCAGCTGAAGAGCTGAATCAGAGACGGTGTTCTAAAATCAGGTCTTTCTCGTACACCTGGCTGGTCAGCTCGTCCGTCTTATTATCCAGGGAGCTTTGTTGTTTTCCCAGCTGGATCGACGTGCAGGGGCAACGTCCCAATATTGTCCGAACGCTTCAAAAATTGCCCCCCGCTCCCCTGAAATGAAAAACTATGGAGTGCCTGGTAATATTTATTTATTTATCTCCACAAACCACTGTAGGAGTTGCTGGCACCAGCATTCTGCAAACAATCCCCTGATTATTAAAATGAATTCATAAAATGAGCTGCAATGCTGCCATCTTGTGGCTTTCTCACATACAGCCTGTTTTCCCCAAAACTATTAAACTATTTTATAAAACTATTTTTACAACAAATAATTTGGCCAAAACCCAGGCTTTGTGTTATGTGGTTTTCATTATCAGAGGAAAAAAAAAACACTAATGATCCTAACAGGTATTACAATAATATTGGTTTGCCAATATTATCGGACATCCCTAGAAAAAAAAAACTTAAAAGTAAGTAGTCTGTATGTAGAAAATGCAAGTTGTAGCTGTAAAAAAAAGAACCTAAAGCCTGAGGGGCAGATGTGTTTGACATTTGTTTTCTAACTTCTCGTGAAACTAAGCATTTCATCTCTCTTGATTCTGTGTTTCCACAATCATAAAACTCCAGTGAGAATGACACAAATGTCATCTGTTGCGTGAAAATAGTTGGAGCAAGTTTCCAATCTCTCTGATCTGTCTCCAGGTCGATTGTATGCCTCGCGTGGTACCACTTACCTCTCGTTCGCTCAATTTTTTCCCCCATCCTGAAAATGGGTCGGGGTGTGTTTATTAAAATGAGTTTTTATAGAAATGGACAGATCACCCTTCTTGTATCTAAGCAATTCATATTTACTGTAAACAAATTAAAGCATAGAGATGAGTGCAGCACAAATTTAATTTTGGAAACCTTCAGTAAAAATATCATATTATTTTCCAAACTTTAAATGATGGTGCTTTAATCAAAGGTTGTGTATCAAAATAATAAGAGAAAAAAATATATTTTAGGCCAAAAAGTTAGTTATCAAATACTTGAATTTTTTTCTACTTTAGCCAAGTCATTCAATACTGTATTTTTATTATTATTTATATATTTATTATTATAATTGATGTATCATCATGGTGAGCAAAGCCTTCTCTGCAGGCCCAGAGTTCCATTGGTAATTTGATGTGATTTGATTGGATGGTCAGAGAACACAGTTCTGAATCTAGGAAACTGCATCTAGCGACTAGCGCGATCCAAAATAATAATAATAATAATTCTGTGTCCGCCGCTTCTGTCGAGCAGACATTCTTAACCCAAAGCTATTTAGACCTTAAAACGTATTATTGATGCTTTTTGATGTACATTATGTCACAGCTCTGCGTGGGTTTGTTGCTTTAGTAATGTCGTTAGTAAGGCTGCATGATACAGACACAGACATAGACAAGAGTTTTCAATTCTGTAAAATGAACTACAGACGAGAACTGATAGGGACCAGGGGTTGGAGACCCGTCATCTAGGTTGTAATGACTCACTATGACTCACATTTCTGCATATTATAGATGGTTTCCATAGACTATATGGACTAGACTATAGACTATAGATTATATTATTATTAATAATAATATTGACACCAAAGCAAAGTGACTGTGACTAAAATGCTGACATCGCTGCAGCTGCTCAGTGGTGAGTAAGCGGCCACTGTTAAAATTTTATTTTGATTCAAACTGGAGCCAATTATGAAAGTGATCAAAATCTATTATCAACAAACATGAAACTGCTTTAGTTAAAAAAAATTTAAAAAAAAGAATAAATTCCAGAGTGTAATTTTCACTGAAACCCAGCAAGGATTTCAACTTGACAAATAATGTCACACTTCCTTTTGCAGATATGAATCATTTGCAGTTAAACCTGGACCCTAGGTTCCGCAATAAGACCGTACTTACTGTTTTTTTTTCTTTCTAATTTGTGGCTCTGTTTTCGGAACTGTTTAGGAACTGTACTCACAACAGATATGTCAATCCCTATCTGTACCTAGCGTACGCTAAACTGATGATATTCTTTGCTCCTAGGAACTACTGTGTAAAAAATAAAAAAAATTTGGAGTACATGAACGAGTCCTTCCGTGCGGTACAGTGGCATGTACTGCCTTGGCTTCACCCTTTTTCAGGCCCTTTTCATGCCACGCGCCATCAGGCAGGCAAATACAGTCATCACCATCTTGGGTTTGACCTCCACCAAGTCCTCAGGCAGAGCGTAGAGCCGCGCTCCGATCTTTCTCGCCATGGAGATGGCATACCTGAGGAAAAACGGAATGACGACGTGAGTGCAAGGTTAAGCAGATGACAGTAGCTTGAAAGTGACTTTACTATGGACGTAGCCTATGTATACGGTTAAGCTAGTTAAGCTAGGGGTCAGCAACCTTTTTTCAAAAACAGATATTAATGAAGAGCTACTTGCTTGATACACTTGATATAGTTTATTCCGCAAACGTCTTTAACCTAATGTCAGTTTTGTCAACCGCTTTTTTTCTTTTTTTTTTAACACGCTTACTTTGCATTATTCTGTTTCTCCTCATCAGTCAGATCTTGACTTTTCACAAGGTCGTATCTTATCGATCCAGGCTGGATGGCGTCAATCAGGTCCAGGACTGGAAGACTGGAGCTGATGTTTTGGTCCTGCATACATAAAACAGTTGAAATCAGTGTTAGAAACAAGGTCTTGTGAGTTAAATTAATAGAATTTTTTTTTTTTTACCTTAAATCCAGAGATGGGTTTTTTTTCCGCCTGTGTTAACATGTCATTGACCCATGCCACAATGGTGTCGTCTGTCACTTTCTGACCATCGCCAAGCTCTTCCAGAATGTTCAGTGTGTATCTGATAACAGATACGGGACCAACATTATCCATTATTTATTTTTTACGCCGACCTTGGACCTGTCTCCAAACTGTTACGGTTCAGACCACGCCCTTTTTGGGTGCATTGTCCCTTTAAGAAAAGTTTACCGTCTCATGAGTTGCCACAGCAGAGCCAGAGTAAGGGTTCGATTCCCAGCGTTTAGGTCCTGACCCGCAATCCCAACCAGGGAAAATTTGGCCTCTTTTTTCCCGAGCTCTACGGCGTAGTTGCAGTTTTCAAGCTGAGAAACACAAACAAACCCGCTTTGATTCCGCAAGTATTTCGAAATCAACTTAGAAACAAGAGATTAAAAACGTTAACATTTGAGATGTTATGCGACCTGTTACCTTTTTCATGTTGCTTCCAAGTTTGGGATACGGAGGTATATTGACTCGATCCCAGTCGACGGGGACTTTAATTTTCTCGTAGAGCTGGAAAATGACTATAGCGTCATCGATGTCTCTGAACAGATGGACACACATAAATTAAAAACACTTAATGCGACGCTTTTTTGCATAGAAAACGATTAAAAACACTTAATGCGACGCTTTTTGCATAGATAACTGAAACGTTTTTTTAAAACCACTCCTTCTACCACACCACAAGTCCATCTGGAATATCAGCGAATTTGTTTAGATTTAGATTTACCTCCAGTGACACAAACTGACTACGGGAGGCAGTAGACCATCAACTCCTCAGTCCCCAAGTGGTAAAATCACACATTTTCTCTATGTCTTAGTGCAAGGGGTGTCAAACTCATTTTGGTTCACGTTTCCCATACAACCTGGTAAGATGTCAAGTGGGCCGGACCAGTACAATCACAACATAATAACCTAAAAATAATAATAATAATAAGTCCATGTTTTCCTCCTTTGATTTTATGCAAAATAGAAATATATTAGATATAAGCCACACCCACTAAATTTCAAAAGATTATTCTACATATATAGGCTGCACTTCTCTTAAAGCCTAGCCCGTAAATATCCATTAATTAGCTGCATCATTGTTTAAGCCGCAGGGTTCAAAGCGGCGGCGTATACTCTGGAAATTACGGTATTCGTATTTAATGGAATACAATTTTACAAAAGATATTCTGAACATGGTGTTTGTGTATATATATATTTTTTTCTTTTTTCAAAATACATCAAGCGGGCCAGATTAAACACCTGAGTGGCCCGGGTTTTGGCCCATGGACCATATGTTTGACACCCCTGGCTTAGTGTATAATTGATAAACTTCACCTTCTTAGAGTTAGAAAATCTACCACCGTAGCATTGAAAACTGTAGGTAGCTAAAATAAAACGTTTTAAATGTCTCGTATCATCTTAACGTTCCAGTCATCGTGATTTAAAATGTGAGTTCTTACGTATATAAGTGGTTGACCCTGGGATTTACTCCTAGAGAGTTCATCCAGTTCCTGAAGGTTCTCTCCTCCCGGGTTTCACCTGAAGAAAGAACATAATTACAAGGAGTTGAAGAATAAAACTCACGGGGGAATTTCTCGAGGTTAACGGAAATAGCTCCGACCTTCAATGGTGCTCCAGTCGATGTCCTGATTCTCCGGTTTTTTCAGAGCAGGGTATTTGTTGAACAGGTTGGCGACAAACGCAAGGTTAAGTTTGGGATTCCCTCGCACCACATCCGGTGGCATCACAAACTGCCGGCAACCGAGTCGTTCAGCCTGGTCCAGCATCAGCTCCGCCCTCTTCAAGTCCTCATTCGCCTGGAGAGATAGATTACGGCGAGGAAGTGTATTAAAAAAAAAAGGTCCGATTTTGACCCCGAATAAAGATGGATTTGATTGTCAATGTGTCTCTGCTGCTTTCTGACCCTCAGTCCAGACATGTCGATGGCTATTGCTGGGATTCCCTCCTCGTCTCCCTTTGGCGCCACTTGGTTCAGGAGGTTGTAGTAAGCCTTGGAGTCCTAAAGCCAAAGGATTTGGAAAGGGTGAACTGAGTTTTGGCTGAGATAAAATAATATTGATCATTTCATTCAAATTCAATTCAGTCAAATTCTCAACTCAGATATAAAATTTGGTCCATGTCCTAGTACGCACTGTTGCGTTTGATTCAGTACGTTTTGGCTCAATTTGGGTCAGTCAAGTCAAGTTTTCAACTCGAATCGCCGTGGTTTTTTTAGATCAAGCCCAAGTCACTGTAGAAATATTTTATTTTTTAAAGTACCAGCGCCAAGTGCCAAAGAAAACATTGCACTTATTTGGATACATTTTAGTTTTAAGTCTGATAACGCCAAGCTCAGTGGTACCTGGTGGCTGGTGGATTCAAACCTGTGACCTTCCTGTGACACAAGTCCGCGTCCTTAACCATGAACCATTGTCATGAAGCCGAATTGTTGGCTGGAGAAGACCTATCTCCATGAGACCAGAAAGAATTCCTGTTTACCTTGATGTCAGAGCTGAAGTTGTTGATCTTGCCGCAGCCTGCTTCCTCCAGGTGATAATTTACCCAACGCAGCAGCAGCTCCTCGGGAGAAAGTTTCATCAAATCCTCCAGACTTTCTCCATCACGCAGTAGAGCAATCAGAGCTGCTCCGAAAAAAACAAACATCGGTGTTTAGCGCTACAACTCTTTCATTTGGGACAGAGGAACTGGCGTTGGGTTCGGTTTACGCACCTTCGTTCTTGGTGAGCTCGATGTCAGCGAAAAGTCCGATCTTGATGACCTGCCAGAGCAGACCCAGGACAAGGTGCTGTCGGCCTTCTTTTAGGTCCTCAGCTCCGATGTTGACCACGTGGCAGCCGATGGCCGATGCCGAGTTCAGTGCCAAGTTCAGGTTCTCCTGCAACAACGCACGTACGCACTCTTAGAATAATTCCACTCCAGGGTCTTTTACTGTATCCTCTATCAAGTGTACCTAACCCTAACCCTGTCCTTCGAACTAGGTCCTCAGGCCTAAGAAAGCCTCCAGAACAAACGAAAAAGCAAAAGGAAAGAAGGCCCTCACCTGGATGGTAAACGGTGTCAGTTTCTTTTTGTTTATGGTTCTCTCGTCGATGGTATCGGGAACTGACAAGTTGATCATTTTACTGAAAACAAAAGACGAAGGGGTGTTCCGACTCTGGGTCTAGACGCGCTTTGAATTGGTTCTACATCAAAGAAACAATTGATACCAGAGGAGGATTCCATCGTTGACCGCAGTGAACAGATCATTGGTGTCTGGATTCATGGGCAGCAGGTGTTTGCAGTCCGAATCCTTCTCCAGGGCTTTGTTGATCCAGTTCACAAAGGCTACCTTCTCCTCCTCTGTAGTACATAGAGATTTAAGACTTAAGTCGTAAAATTAGTGGTTAGAGGTTCCCAAAGTGTGCGGTGCACCCCCTAAGGGAGGCACAACGCCATTACGAGGGGGGCCGCGGATGGAAATAAATGAATGAAACGTTACGCAGCATATTATCCGATGGCTTTTTTTTTTTTTTATATGAACCAATAAGGGGGCCCAGCAGAGAAAGTTTAGGAACCACTAACTTAAAACTTAAAGCGTGTTTACCAGAGTAGGAATGTTGTGTTCCACTCTGCTCCGACGTTCCGGCTACATTACAAATTCCTTCCTTCTTATTGATGGCCTTCCTGAAGGTCTTTGCTACTTCACTGCTCTTGAGACCGTGGACCAACTGAACAGGAGGAGAAAGAGGTTACTGTTAATTCACTTCGTAGACCTTCAGAATTCAGGATTTCATGGTCACGTGATAATCCTCATTCTGACCTGGGTGAAGGTGTCGAAGTTGAGCTCCTGACTGCTTGAGGTCAGCTCTTGGACCATCTCTCTTATTTTGTACCCTGGCAACTGAAGGTTAGCAGCTTTGAAGAGCTCATTTAGCTCTTCTCTGCTAATCACACCGTTGTTGTCCACGTCTGGAAGATAAACGATCAAAGAAGACAATGTCAGAAGGGCCCGGGAGGAGGCTCCTGGAAAGGTGGCGCTCAGGGAGCAACCGAGACAGAGATTCTCTAACCGATCTTTGCGAAAGCTTCTCTGAGCTCTTCAAGTTCCTCTGGAGAAATCTGCGCGACTTTGGCCATTTTGGAACCTGAAACTGAGACATGAAGAGATGGCTTTATTTGACTTCTTTGAGCTTCCACAGAACAATGGGTAGGAAAAAAAAATTAATAAATTATTAATAAATAAATAAAAAGTTTTTCTTTATGAGTTAAGTTTGAGCTTCCACAGAACAATGGGTAGGAAAGAAAAAAACAAAATAAATTATTAATAAATACATAAAAAGTTCTTCTTTATGAGTTAAGTTGATCTAATCTCCTAACTAAATGACTTTTCGCATGTTAAGATTGGAATTATGTGGGTTTTCTTTTTTACTTGGAGACAAGGAGGGGACTATTTCTAGGCCAAATGTACAACGTTTTGAAAAAGATTTACCTGTTAACATGGACTTTTTACAGTAGTAGTATTTAATTACGCTAAACATTCTGCTAATTTTGTTTATTTTGCCAGAAATCAAGTTTCTAAAGGGCATGTTGAAGGTAGATCTCAAGATTCAGGATATATATATATATATATAAAATCCAATTTTGCAAAATATAGCAAAAAATAAACCGAAAGACACTGTACATATATACTAAAAGTTTTGACTGTAAATATATGTATACTGTATATATATTTTCATATTATATATATATTTATGTTATATATATGCTCACTGCTACGCTATGGAACCAACATAGTGTATATATATATATATATACATATATATATATATATATATACTGTATATAAAATACAATTTTGCAAAATATAGCAAAAAATAAACTGAAAGACACTGTACATATATACTAAAGTTTATGACTGTAAATATATGTATACTATATATATATATATATATTTATATTATATACAGTTTATATATTTATGTTATATATATGCTCACTGCTACGCTATGGAACCAACATAGTGGATATATATATATATATATATATTCTGGCATGCCAATCAGGAAATGAATCCTTGAATATATTGTATGGATAAAACTGGAAACATCTTGAAGTTCCATTCAGTATATTAAATGATTCATTTCCAGAATTGCATATATATGTGTGGTGCAAATAAGCAAGGTGAAAGTTGAGGGGAGAAGTTGTGCAGTTCCTGAGTTTAGTGTGCGAGAATGACAATGGGGTGGGGGGTGGGGATTGGGTCTGGTATGATGTCAGATGAAGGGGAAGCGGGGGGTATGTGGGTGGAGTGTGTGCAGACTGACTGCCTGGTGAAGGAAATAACATAATGTCGTATGTACTGTTTATCAGTATTTAACATAATTATAACTCATAATAATTATAACTATATTATAACTATAACTTGATTTTTTTTTTTCAGGTTTATTTTTCATAGGTTAAAATCCTTTGGATAGTTATGTAAGTTAGCTGATTTTTAGCCATAGACTTCAATTATATATATTTGTTGAGGCAAATGTTAAGTGAAATTATTTTTGTAGGTGTTTTTGCTATTTTCCGTAGAATTCGCTACATTTTGACAACTTACATTTAAGTTGTCATTACATTTAAGATTTTATGTTTTTATGTTTTTATGTTCACTTTTAGTAATGTTTAGTAACATTGTTTTTTTTCCAGCAGTCAGTCAGAACAGAACAAGGCATTTGGATGATAGAGAAATGCCAATTCCTACGTTGGAACTCCTTAGATTGAAATAACCTGACCTGAAATCTTTCACAGATATTCAATTCTACATTTGCTATTTTTTCTTCTTCTTTTTTTTTGCAAATCTTTAACTTTTAGCTGTTTTTTAGCTGCAACAAAAGCTGTAGAACAGTCTTTGTTTGTTTTTTTTGCCGTTTTGCAGATTTTTTTTTCTTTCTCTAATTGAAGCTGACCACAAACTTCCTTTCCAACAGTGCTTTGACTTCTGCTTCCTCTGCTTCGCGAGCCTCGCTGCTGTTGTCGCTCCTCCTTCTGCTGCTAAAACTTTTCTTGCTCTTTCTCTATTTTCTCTACCATGAAACATATCCAACTTAGAATAAATTGCATTTTTACCTTAGCAGTAGCTGCATAAAGCAAAAAAGAAACAAGGTCATGAACATCTGAGGTTCAGATTTTGTTTTCTTCTTCTCGTCTTCTCTAAAAATTCTAAAAAGAATTCTGAGCCAAAAGTAGATTTAAAATTCATTCCAAAAATCTTAATCTACCGATTCCTTCAGAGAACCTTCAGAGATCAGAAGTCAAAGCTTACCTGTGCGGTGGTGCTGCTCGTGCTGCTGCTTTGATGAGGACAGTGAGTGAGAAGATGATGACGGTGACTCATGAACGGTTGCTGCTTTTAAAAAGGGAAGTGACACGTTTCACAGCTTAGAAACAGGAATCTAAGTGGTTTTTGTCTTTATATGGGGATTTATAAGTTGTCAGTAAATGTCAGACCACGCCCATTGTGGCATGGAGGCGGCTGCCATCTAATCTGATTTGTCATTATTTTATGGTGCCGATTTAGCGCTCTATTAGGCAGGTGATTTTGCATGTAATTAATTTAAAATGATAATAATAATAATAATAAAATTTAAAAGACAATTTCAAGTCAGAACGGAAAGTTCATACACTGACTTCTCTCTAAAGTGCAAAGCGATTTTCAGGGTATGGTGATACCATGAGCTGCAGTCGATCAGTTATAGCTAAATATGAAAATTAGACAACATTTGAATAAAGCTGCATTAAGGCAGGACCACAATTAGCAACAAAAAAAAAAAAAAAACTCTGACAGTACTACCCTACAGTAGAGTAGTATCAGTCTCATATTGAAAATAACTCAGTAGTAGTCAGAGTACGTTAACAGGCCAACATCCATTTTATTTTAAGACTCAGTCAAGATGACACATTTATCACCCAGTCGGTGACATCGGCACAACTCGAAACGCAAAGCTAAATTAGTTATAGAAGTGAGTTGTCTGACTATTGATGATTTATTAGTTTTAGACATTTGTATCTGCAACTGTGAAGAGGCAAGACATTAAAAAATCCCACCACCAGGCAACAGCAGAGGGTTACGAATACTGAAATACAAAAGTGACTCGGAGCTGAAGATCATTGTCTTTCTTCAATTCCTGTGCGTACATCAACTAAATAGACCGGAGTAAATTATTGCATTATGTGCAAAATGAAATTAACTTAATTTAAAAGTAGTGATTTATGGATGTCTATTTCACTTCCTACATATATGTCTTATATGTAAAAAGCGTGCAATACTGTTTAACACTAAACATATAAGGTGCTTTCCGACAGCGGTGGCAGTTCAAATCTTTTTTAAACATAACATAAATTGATGTTAATAAAAATCTATTTAAAAAAAAAAAACAAAGCAGCAAGTTACCCTTTATAAATCTGTTTTCCATTTGAATCTGGGCACCAACACAAACAAATGGTTTTTTTTTAGGGGAACAGCATAAACAGTTTGTCCACTAGTGGTTGAGCAATATAATGGCCAAATAGACACTTGGATTAGACACTATAAGCCTCTACAGTGGACGCCTAAGAATCCACTGTGGAGGCTTATATGCAACACTGCCATCAAAGCCTATTCTTATCATAGAAAATTACATTTTAATAGCTGTCCACTGTAGTGACCGTCATGCATGAAAGGGTTAAAATGTGTGAAACAAAAACATCTGAAAAAAAAGGGTATCAGTGTAGTCTTTGTAGCAGCAGTTTTTGCCTCTATTTTCTCTTGCTCCTTCTCTCTCTCTTCAGTTTCTATCACTCAGCCACAAGCATGTGTAGCTTCTTTTTTTTTTTGCCAGCTCAAAGAAGCAGAAATATGCACGCAACGTATAACATTACAACTAAAGAGAAAGACTTTGCTCAGCCTTATTAGTCATATATCCTTTTATGAGACGTTTGTGTGTTGTAGGGTTTTCTGATGTATATTCTAGATGTCAAACTCAAGGCCCGGGGGGCCAAATGCGGCCCACCACGCCGTTTTGTATGGCCCAATGGGAGCTTAAAAAGCATTTTGTTAAGTCCATGCAGCAGAGTTTCTTAACCTGACCTTAACCTTTTGTTCCAAGGACTGGTCAGCCAGTACCACCTGTTACTGCAGGCGAGTCATTTTCAAAATAAAACATCTTTTAGACTCTACTCTGTTTGTACCAAAGTCTGAATGATCTGTTGTGTTATACATATAAATATTGCCACATCTTTATCTTTAAATAAAGAAAGTAAATGGATATGACTGGACTTTCTTTGAATCAAGGAAATTAGTAAAAATGAAGTACATTTTTTTTCCACTGTGTCCCACTGCGGTACCAAATGACCAACGGAATGGTACCGACATTTTTTTTCCACTGTGTCCCACTGCAGTACCAAATGACCAACGATGTCTTCCATTTACAAGGGCCCCTGTTCTAGACAGTTAAAAGCTGCACACTTTAATTTGAATACAATATTGCTTTCGGGTAAAAATGGGAATAATTGTTGGTTAATATTTACAAAGCCTCTAATTAACACTTTATTAAATGCGCTCCACCACTTACGTCTTGGAAAAGTCATCGACATTATCCACATTCCCGCTGCCGCCAACAACGTATTCCCCCGGCTCAGATGGAACCTGCCATGACGGATCCTTCACTTGCGGTTGTTGGATTTGCCGAATGTCAACAGTGCTTGCTGCTCTTTCTCTCTCTTCACTGTCCGTCCCATCACACACTTCTGTATTCTCCATGACATCCTCCATGATGAGGAGGTTCTTCATCGAGTCCGCCACAGCTTCTTGCAGCTCATCCTCTGAATCCTCAAAGTACCTGATAAAAAAATCAAATCATTGTTACGTCTTTTTCGATGCTACTTTCCCGTCTTTCATATATATATGTATCAGACTGTGTCAGCTACATTTGCAATTCAAAAAATGATTGGTTCTTTAGCCCAGAGTTACTGAAGTTCTATCAGGTGACTTTGGTCATGTTTTGTACCAGGATTCTTATGTATATTAACATTGGTTTTAACTAGTATTTTTGTGTACTTCAGTGTTCGACCATTATCCTCCTCGAACGATGGATGGATGGATGGATGGATGGATGGATGGATGGGTGATGGATGGATGGATGAATCCATCGATGGATGGATGATGGATGGTTGGATGGATGGATGGATGGATGGATGGATAAATGAATGGATGCCCTGCAGGAATGGATGGATGGATGGATCCATCCATGGATGGATGGATGGATGGATGGATGGATCCATCCATGGATGAATGGATGGATGTATGGATCCATCAATGGATGGAGATGGATGGATAGATCCATCCATAGATGGATGGATGGATGGATCCATCCATAGATGGATGGATGGATGGGATAGACGGATGATGTTTAAGCTGCAGGGTTCAAAGCGTGTGAAAAAAAGTAGCTGCTTATAGTCCAGAAATGATTGTATTTAAGTTTTGATTTGTTGTAGTATTCTTAGGTATAATCTCAGGATGTCCGATATTAGCTTTTTGCCGATATCCGATATGCTGATATTGTCCAAACACTTAATTTCCGATTCCGACATCAACCTACCTATATGTGCTTGGTAATATTTACTTATTTATTTATTTGTACAAACTACTGTATGAGTATGCAATTAATTAAATGAGCTGCAATGCTGCCATCTAGTGACCTTTGCTTTAATATACTGCCGTTTATTCCCCAAAATTATTTTTAGGGCACAGAGGCATTGCGTTATCGGGTTTGCATTATCGGAAGGAAAAAAAAGCAGTTGTTCTGGAATAATGGATGAAATCTCAGGTTGCTAAAAGAACTCAACTTACGTGTCGTCATTATCCGACCCTGGCTCTTGACGGTATTCGTCTATTTCCACATCCGAATCGTCCTCTTCCTTCTCAGCTGTTTCTTGCATAGTGGACCAGATAAGTTCAGCCTGAGCCAGAGCACTCAGCAGCGTATTTGGGGTGGCATCACTCCATTGTCTACGACCTGTGGGAGAAAGAAAAACTTCAAGATCCAGACTAAAATGTCCGACACCAAAGTCTGTAGAGGAATTCACAGATTCTGTTTCAGGGATCAATGCCCATAGAGATAATTGGTGACCGCGGTGTCCCTGCAAACGTGACCATTTACAGGAACAGAGCAGTTTCCGGTGCTGTCACCATCAGCGATGCCTCTATCTATAATGTGTTTTTTGGGAACTTCACTTCAGCTCCCGTGAGCCCCAGCAGCTGAACTTTACCTTCGTCATCCTCGACCACAGTGCTGCAGACGGACTTCGCTTCAATATTTGCTAGTTCATTCAGCAGACTCTGAGTCCTGTGGCTCCACCTTCTTCGCTCTTTCATCCAATCCCTGACCTTCAAGTCTGTCCCCCTCCGTAAGCTCATAGTCTTGTTTAGAGGGTTCGAATCCTGCAGCACAGAGGGGAGGGTGTAATTAAGAAGAAACAAGGTTAAAAAGTAGGGATATCCGATAATATTATCCACCTGATATTAGCATCATTTTGTATTAGCCGTAAAAATCGTTAATGTTTTATCCTCCGGTAATGCAAACCCTATAACACAATGTGCCCTAAAAATAGTTTGGGGGGAAAAAACAGTTGTGTGAAAGCGAAAGCCACTAGATGGCAGCATTGTAGCGCATTTTATTCATCTATATTGATAATCAGGATATTGTTTGCAGGAAACTGCTGCCAGCAAGTCGTACAGTGGTTTGTACAGATAAATAAATAAATATTACCAGGCACGCAATGGTATTTCAATTCAGGGTTGGGGGAGGGGGGTAGGGGCATGGCAGAAAAAAAATGAGTAACACTGCTTACAGCACTTAGCTTCCTTAATCAGCCCAGTTCTATCGGTATCAGTTGATATCGCAATCAGAAATGACGTGTTTGGACAATATCGGCACGTCGGATATTGGGAAAAAAATGGATCCGGAACTCCCTAGTAAAAGAAAAAATCTCACTGTGAGCCCCTTGTTGCTGCTGTTCCTCTATTCTGAGACATAAGTCTGAGAAATGATGATAGATGACGATGTAATTCAGACACAGACATAAACAGTTTTCAACTCAATCAAAAAAAATAAAACAATTAATATTAACCCACTATGTAAGAATTATTGTTATCAGCCGTTGGTAATACCGTGCCACCACTGAAGGATCACTAAATTTTCAAAATAAAACATCTTTTAGACTTTATTCTGTTAGTATCAGAGTGAATGACCTACATTTTATCTTTTAATGAATTTAAAGGTATTATAAGAATGTCTCATCTGTAATTTGATGCCTTTTGGAGATTTTCATCATCTCCATCATTATTTACATGCTTATCTTTTTCTGTTCCTCCTGTGGTCTTCACATGTCCTTCCTTCGCACTGACGCCATCCAAACAGACTTCAAACATGATTCCCTTCTAGAAAGAGATCAGACACATTCTGATTATAATGTTATGTGGAAAGCAAAGCAGAGCGCCATAGTCACTGTGATCTCACCTTGTCGTTGTGTTTAGCCTGCAGGGTTGGGTCCTCCGTGATCCGTCTCAGCGCAGCATCTATGTCCTGTTGAGTGGAAGCATATTTGAAATACTGGCATCTATGTCCTGTTGAGTGGAAGCATGTTTGAAATACTGAACTATAGGTAAAACAAAAAACAAAAAAGACTTGCATTTTCTGCGTAGGGAAACTAGATGGTTGTGTATGGGAGTACATGTAGCTGGGCAGCTGCTGCCTCACACTGATCTTCAGTCTCTTCTCGTTCTAGTACGTCTGGTTTCTTCACCGTAAACGTTTCATGATTCGATGTATCCATCTGACGGGAAACAAGTACATTGTAACTGAATTTAAATGTTCAGAAAACAATCCATAAAAAAAACAGACAGAGACAGAGAGTGGTTATGGATCTACTCGTTTACATTTATCGCAGTAACGCCAACTGACCCCAAGAGGGAGCAGTGGACTAACAGCTCTAATGTCCATTTGACCTGTGTACATATTTACCTTCTCAGCCGCTTTGACCCTTATGTTTCTCATCTCTCGATGATACTGTTGTCTAATGACATCCAGCTGACGTAGGTACTCCTATATACACACACACACACACACAGTAACAGAGATGTAGTAACACACAACGTCACACAGGATTACACATGCATAACCTGCATAACGATACACAGAACCACACAAACCCTTGCTCCATGATGCCGCGCGTCTCACCTGTTGTTGTCCTTCACATTTCCGCTGTTTGACGTGCCCTTCCCTCTGCTTCTCCTGCCGACCTGCTGGCCTGCTCCTGACCTCGGCCGTGGATGGACGCAGACCCTGATAGGTCAAAAGTCAGAGCAAGGGCGGGACTGTGTGGACATGTACTGTATTCGTGTGTTTACCAGCTGTTTCTCTGCTCTCAGTTTGTACTGGTTTGCTTCGTGTCTTCTCTCTAGATATTCCTGTCGAGCAGCAGCCACACTAAGACAGAAAAGACATTTTATAAGGGAGACTATGTCACAAACGCACTCTATCACAGTGGTTCTAAAATAGTGGGGCTCGCCCCGCCGGGGGGTGTAAAGGTGTCACGTGTGGTGCACGAAGGGAGTTTCAGTATACTGTCTTTATTCATGCTTAAAAGATACAAAAAAAAAGCCTCTAGTCACCAGATGGGGGCACTGCAGCTCATTTTATTAATCTATTTGGCTAATTAGGGGGTTGTATGCAGAATGCTGCCACCAGCAACTCATACAGTGGTTTGTACATAATAAAAATAAATATAACCAGGTGGTCAAAAGTATTTCAGTTTGGGGGTTGGGGGAAAAAAATTCTGTGCCCTTGGTTGGCATAACAGAAAATAACTGAGAAACACCACCGTATCATAAAGCCTTGTTTACTGCCAGTTTACCAATTGCACAGTTCATCTTATGAACAGCGGAGACTGCGGAAGAGAGATGAAGAATAGAGTACAGGCAGGATGGAACAGCTGGAGAAAAGTGTCAGGAGTGATCTGTGATAGAAGAGTGTCAGCTAAGGTGAAGGGAAAGGTTTACAGGACGGTGGTGAGACCAGCCATGATGTATGGTTTAGAGACGGTAGCAATAGGCAGAAGACAGGAGGCGGAGCTGGAGGTGGCAGAGTTAAAGAAGTGACAAGGATGGACAGGATCAGGAATGAGGTCATTAGAGGGACAACACAGACAGGAAGCTTTGGAGAAAAAGCTAGAGGAGCCAGATTGAGATGATTTGGACATGTGCAGAGGAGGGACAGTGGATACATTGGTAGAAGAATGTTAGAGATGGAGCTACCAGGGAGGAGAAAGAGAGGAAGGCCAAAGAGGAGATATATGGATACAGTAAGGGAGGGACATGCAGATAGTTGGAGTCAGAGAAGAGAAGATGCAGAGAACAGGGAGAGATGGAAATCAATGATTCACTGTGGCAACCCCTGAAAAAAAAAGGGACAAACCCGAAAGAAAAAGAAGAAGAAGACAGTTCATCTTATGAATATATGGATTTTAAAAAAAAAACGAATGAATAAATCTAAAAAGCAATGCTATTTAGCTATGCTATTTAATATTACTACATTTCAATGTGTAGGTCATTTAACTGAAGCTGAAGTCATACTTGATGGTCAGAGCTATCAACACCGAAACATGACTTTTGTCCCAAACTCACTTTGAGGTCTTTTTTAGACAGCCCTTTTTTTTCTTTTTCAGATAAATGTAAAAATAAAAAAAATGCTCTTTTGGGGCCTGCACTCACAGCTGATACGGCTCCACAGGCATTGCAGTCTCCTCGTCAGCCTTCTCATTCACCTGAAGATCAGTCGGGGAAGGAAGACCGTCTTTTTGGTGATTATTAAGCGCCGCAGACTGACGCAGATGCTGCAGAAAATTGAACCTGCAGCAGTGACACTTGTTTGTACCAAACTCCAGAAAATACATTATACGTAATAATGACGGTCTCACCTGTGGTTGTGTTGACCTCCGACCTCTCTGTCTGCGACTGCTCTTCCTGCTCTGTGACAAAGAGGCTAAAACAACAGCAAGCTGTTCATTTGAAAACACTAACGCCAAAAAAATTAGGAGTAAACTACTATTACTACGACTAGTTCAAATATTTCCAAATCATAGTTATCATATTAAGGAGTCTGACAATGACAAACAACTCATGCTGCAAGTATCAGATAGAATACTGCCACATTGCAAAATGATTACCGTAATTTCAGGACTATAAGCCTCTACTTTTTTCACACACTTTGAACCCGGCTAATTTATGGATTTTTACGGGATAACAACGTTCATACCGCTGGCGATCAATGACTTTTCTGGTAGGCTGCTGTGTGTTATACTGGTAGTGTATGTCTGTCTGTGAATAGCTAGTGTACATATATGTGCCTAGAGCACGCAAGAGAGAGAACGGTAGAAGTTGAGAGCAGTTTGAGCCCTGTCATGTTGGTTATACAGGAGCTGTTTATGTTCCGTTGTGCTCGGTGTGGCTGAGAGAAAACTGTTCGGAAAAAAGCATTTATCCCATGTTACAATGTGGACACCTGCGGCTTATAGAGAAGTGCGGCCTATATATGTATAATTATTTTTTTTCTTTTTAACCCTTTGATGCATGACCCATGATATACTGAGTTTAAAAAAAAGTGTTTTTACGTGTTGTTAGACATAAAAATAAGAACTGATTAGGTTCTGTTTTTATACACCAAATTTTCTTTTTGAATGTTG